CTGCGTTGGTGTCGTAATTAGAGACGAACATTGGTTCCGTATGATGATGTTATGTATGTTGACTTTGCAGAATTTCATCAACTATGCCACCTGACCTCTCTGGACAAAGTTATCATTAGCTGCTATTGCCTGTAAGTAATAATTGTTTCGATCTATTATTAAACTCATCATATGTGTGTATATGCATATAAATTATCCTAACAAGTACTATATATATGCAGATTTACAATGACAGAGCTCAGAAAGGAAGGCTGCAATGAAATTGGTTTTGTTGATCCCCATATAGTATTCAAGACCCAATTACTCCAAAGACTAATTGGAAGTCCGAGTCGAGAGTAACCTCATGAACTTCTTAGTGAACCAACGCCACAAGAAGGATATACTCTTTCCTATAACTTCAAGTGAGTGTTAATCATGTCGATCATATCCTTAATGGCTCATATGTTGATTCTAGTTAATTAATGAGTGTTATGCGTTATATCCTATAAACACATGCAAAGCAATCATCGGATATTGATGGACATCGATCTGGTGAAAAGTCACTTGATAATCTATGACTCGATGAGAAAACCACAACAAGACTACCAAGATATGATAGATATTATCCAGAGGTAATTTCGGGATCTCTAGCAACTATATATACACACAAACATGATGATTAACTATATCTGATGACGTGGCAAATTTTTTATTGGGCAGTGTTTGGAAAACCTTTATTGAGAAGCAACACATGGAAAAATGCAAAGCGCCACCGAATGTAATCCCTTTGAAAGTAAGTCCCCAGAATCGTATCATCTTTATTAATTAAACATATAGCTTTCACGGATCACCAGATTGGATGACAAATCTTTTCTCGTAAAGTGGTGTCTAAGGTGAACAGGGAACAACTCATCGTGGTTACTATGTTTGCAAGTTTATCAAGGTGCTCTCCCAAAAAACTCCTACAGAGAGACTCAAAGTACGTTAAAAATACACTATATATTCATTTAATTATTATTATTGATTGTGTTACTATGTCTTTATATATATATATATGTACATATATTAATTTATTTTCCTTTAATTCAAACCTGTAGACTCGATGGTTGGAGGAAAAGGTCATACGACAAGACCAAATCAAAGCAATTCAAGAGTCTATAGCCGGATTTTTTAATGAGCAGGTCATCGATTCCAAGGGCGAGTTCTACTTCGACCCAACACTGCCATTGAAGCCAAGCTAGAGGATGAGAGGAAACTTGTTATGTCACAACAACTGTAATGCAATCTTTTGTAATATATATATATATATATATATTTCTATGCTTGAATTGTGTGATTTAATACGTTCATTGTGCTTGAACCGAAACATACTATATGCGCGTATAAATGTATAATTAGCAGCATACAATACGATTTCGAAAACCTATTTTGAAAAGAAAACAAAAAATGAAAAGAAAAGAAAAAAAAAAAACCTTTAGTCCCAGTTCAGATTACTAACCGGGACTAAAGGTGCCGGCCATCGTGGCATGTCGGGAGGCACCTTTAGTCCCGGTTGGAAGTTTCCACCGGGACTAAAGGTCCTCCTTTAGTCCCGGTTCCTGACCCGGGACTAAAGGACCCCTTTAGTCCCGGATGCTTGCTCCCGGGTGGGGAACCGGAACTAGAGGGGGTTCCCCACCGGGAGTAAAGCTCGGTTCTCTACCAGTGAATATAGCAGAAGTAGAAATTTATGCTCGCGTCCTAGCAACAACCTCACATCCACCTAGTGTTCGCAGCCTATTAACGCTGCCACGACAGCATTAGTGTCTACACAATATCCACATGTGCAGGGATAGAACGCTGTGAGCGGTGTGTGCTAGTGCGTGCAACTAGAGAGGTAAAGAGTTGGTGGTGGTTCGGGTATGAAAATGTTGGACTGTGTCTCACCCCTACCCTTCCCCCTCATGTGTATAGACCCCTCTAACATGCTTTAGCATAGAGGCCCATTAGAACTCTCATTAATCAGTATCCTATTTTGTCCCACTTATGGATTGGATTCATAAGTTCAAACTTGTTGTACTGATGCATTTTCATGAAAATTAAGAGTTCCTTGTTGTACTGATGCATTTTCGTATCTGTTTTGTGTATGAAAATATGTTTTCATGGGGTACAAATATATTCTCGTGGCGGTTTTTAACTCATGAATTATTTTCAAGAGAGGCACCGTCATGAATATGTTTTCACAAACCTAACTATGCCCTAATTTTCATGGAGGATACTCTCATGAATTACCATCACGAGAAAGTTCGGCAGTCAACCGCCACGGAAATGTAATTTACCTGACTTCAGATCGATTTGTGGCTGTTATCCGTCATGCATCATTTTTGTGACAGTATTTATATATTTCATGATGGTTTTTGCACTCTCACGGAAATTCTGCTTTCTGGTAGTGTGCGTGCAGTTTAGAACTTAATTTTGATGCTCAATCCTTTATATTTAGGTATAATTTTAAATGGTTGAATGCACTATATTTAGGAAACAAGGAGTAGGATACTATGCCTTGGAACTTGCCTTCTAAAATATTTAATAAATTCCACATAAGATTATTACCTACAGCACATGCATGGGCCATTTCAAAATATACTATTTATTAGGTAGGTAATCTATTCATAATACTCCATATTACAATCTATTTCACGTGGACATACACATGTTTGTGTATCAAGCATTTGTGCTAATATTAGATTGGAGGTTGTCTATGCGGTCAATTATTGGTGACACATACAACTACTATAGATGGAGAACATCTATACAGATTGCAATTTTTACTAGGCACACTATCATTCGACTGCAATTTTTTCATTGATGATACACCATCGGTTTCTGAATTCTATCATACTTTGGCTTTGTCTTAGATTGAACTTCTCTAACTTAGATAAGTTTTAAAATAAGTATATATTAACATCTAAATTTCAAATAGATTGCTCCACCAAAACATAATTCATGGATAACTTAAAGAAACCAATTTGATGTTTTGGATGTTGATGCACTTTTCTAGAAACTTGATCAAAATTGAAAAACAATTTTACTTAGAACAAAGATAAAGTAAAGGATGAAATAAACTAACTTAGCTCTACGTGGCTACTTTAAGCACCACACATATTATTAATCAACTATATAGTCCGGTCGCTACATAGAGGTTATCTACGTTACTTTCTCTGTCTTAAAATATAACAAAATCTGAGTTTATCATAAGTCAAATTACCATCCATTTAATCAGTTTATGCGAAAATAATAATATTTTTATGATATTAAATAAATTACATCTGTTATGAAATATATTTTTACGATTTGTTGCTTTGGTTTAGTACATGTTAATGTGACCTATAAATTTGATGAAAGATAAGATTATTTAACTTAGAACAAATATAAAAGTCCTTATATTCTAGAATGGAGAGGGAATATCAATTATTGGTGATATGTACAACTGTTACAGACACAAGACATCTGAACTGCAACTTGGACCCCAATCATTACTTAGATAATGGAAAATCTGATTAGCTTCACGTGGCTATTTGAGCACCACGCGTATTTTTATGTCTTCCATTCGCTACTAAAACATTTTGCACAGTCGGCTGGTGACCCATTTATAAGGACATTTAGCCTACCGGTTCGAAGATCAACGTGCCGTTGTACGTTTTTAGTTTATATTACTAGTGAACTTGACTACACACTATTATGGGAAAACTTTGTACAAATGGCTAAAAGTGATTTCTAGAGATGGCTACAGGAACCGCTTCTATCCATTTGTCAAACCGCCTCTATCCATTTGTCTCCGCTATTACGGAAACACTTTGTATAGGTGGCTAAAAGTGATTTCTAGAGGTGGCTATAAGAACAGCCTCTATCCATCTGTCTCTTGAAATGGAAGCTTTCTAGAAGTTGTATCCAATGGCTCCTACCAAATTGTTTTTTAGGAGCGGATATGATTTAGACTGCCCTTAAAAATTAATTTCTAGAAGCGGCTCAGTAGGTCGTTCATCTCTACAGATTGAATGAAAAAATAATAAAAGACCACATGCCGCTACTAGGACATCATGTGTGCCTGTGTTGGGCCAGCCACACCGCGATCGACGACGCCAGGGACGACTGCACCGGAGGCCGACGTGCATGGCGGTGCAGGGCTAGCCATGCCGGAGGTCGTGCCACAGCCAAGAATATTGTGGAGTTAGAGAGATGGAATACATAGAGAGGTGGAAGTCAAGAGGAGAGGAGAGAGACGTCTTAGAGAAAATAAATAGATAGAGGCAAATGAGTGAACGATGGAAGGGATAAGGATGGGATAGAGTAATGACGGGCTCCAATCTTTCTCGCGTCCCGTCACAGAGTAGTGGCATACTCTACACCTTCCCCGTCGCATGAGACAAATTTTGATTCTGCTGGTCATGCACACCTTCTTCCGAGTTCTGCATGTCTTTTCGGAGGTAGTTGTTGTTCCATCCATCTCTATAAATCGATTTTAGAGACATTTGTTATTCCAACGTTCTCTAGAAATGAAGATAATTTTCAGAAGCGGCCAGTAAGGCCAGCCGCCTCTCAAATTAGATTTCTAGAGGCAGGTTTTTAGCTAGGGCCCTCTAGAGGCATTTTTAATGGCAGATTTGAATAGGGCCACCTCTACCCAAAAATAGAAAAGGCTCTAAAAGATCATTTATGTAATAGTGTGAAAATTTTTTAGGAGGTTTATTTCACAAGTGGATCACATAAGTAACGGCTTTGTGCAAATAGTTCTATCTGTGAACCGACTTTAGCAATCACTACATTTCTAGAGTAGTTACATAAGGAACCGTGTGTGAAAAATGTCACTCCATAATAAACGGTTCAAAATCTACAGGACACGTTGGCCCATCTAATAATTAATTAAGTGGTTGTTAATGAATTAAGCCGCAAGTCAAGTGGGTAGTGATCTCTGCATTGTATATCGCGGCTATATAAAGGCCGCCCAATGGTATGTGCTTGAGACAAGAAAAGAAATTTTAGTCATGGACTCGTTCCAACACAAGAGTAAGGACGACGAGAAGCATAGTCGTCTTCAAGGCATGGAGGCGGACACCACCGGCGAGAAGGAGCACGAGCACGGCAAGGAGATGAGCGAGCAGCACGGCAGCCAAGTCCACACCCACGACCAGGGCAACAAGCACGGCCACAGCCACGGCCACGGCCACGGCCACAGGGAGGAGCACGTCGGCGGCGGGAGGGAGCGTGCAGACCCGGCGGAATACCTCGACATGGGTGGCATGACTCCAGGGGCCTTTCTCGTAGGCATCTCGTACCAGTTCAATTGCTTACGTTTCTCTTCTGTGAAGCTATAGCTTACTGACCTGCATATATATACACACAGGAAATCAGGTACAGGGCCGCGACCGGGAGACCGTACGACAGAGTGGAACGGTTAATCAGCTCGGAGCAGATGGCCAAGCAGCAGAGCGAGGAGGAAGCCGAAGCCGGCAGGGAGGAGAACAAGGGCGTCATCTACGAGTTCTGATAGTTAATCATGACACACGGAGCCGGCCAGAGATTCAGATGTGCATGTGTTTGCTTGTTTCTCCTATCTATGTTATATGCTTTAAATAATATGCATCGATCGTTCTGGCGAAAATTGTTGGCAAAAGATGTACCATATATATACATATTATTCCACAGTTAATTAGGGCTTTTTTTTGCGAGAAAGTTATATTAATTAGGGTATTTAACCTCGCCCCACGAAAAATTGTTGGCAAAAGATGTATGTAGCTGGCATCTACTACATCTGAATAGGAGACGCTATTAGTAGATTTCTCTGCGATTTTTATGAAGTCGCGTCGTCTCGAAGAGTCCCACGAGTCACTAACCTCAGTGCAGCCAAAAGCGTCTCTGGCCATCAGCCTTGACAACTCATGCAACTATTCGTTCCCAATTCCAAAAACTGATACACGAATTGAATAGTTGTTTCTGACCGCTGGTCTCCCCTCTATATGCTTCCACTTCCGTACGTGTACCTACGAGTTGCCATCATCCCTTTAGACCTAAACCATCCCTCCGAGAGCAGTGGCTGCTGTGGCAACAAGTGGAGCGGTGGCGGCATGCAACGGTACCTGACGCCCTCCCCGCGCGCGAACTTCGAGTGCGCGAACCTCAACCAGGTTAGAAGTGCCTCCAGATCGACCAAAGTGGAAGAAGCTAGCGTGGGACAGGCATCGTGTGTGTGCTGATCCATATCATATATCCGCCGAGATGGAAGAAGAAGCTAGAGCGGGGGTGACGATGGTTGTGCGGCAGAAACGGATGACTCTGGTTGCGCGGTGCACCGGACGAACGATGGAACGAAGCGGCAGCAATCGACGGAAAAAACGAGGCTAGGCCGTCGTGCATCAGTTTTTTTATTTTTTCTATATGATATGATGAAGCCCGCGCCCGTACTTGTTGGTCAGGACTCAGGAGTCGTCAACTTGTCCGTTTTCGATGAAGAATGAGGGAGCATGACGCATGCTGTCGTGGATAAGACAGGCGCGGCACTGTTTCAACTCCTCCGTAGTCCCGTTCTCTTTTAATTTGTCTCTATTTTTTTGGTTTCAAGTTTATTTAAGTGCCTGTTTAGTTTCTAAAATTTTGCAAAATTTTTCAAGATTCCCCGTCACATCGAATCTTTGGACGCATGCATAAATAAAAAATAAAACTAATTACACAGTTTAGACGAAATTCACGAGACGAATCTTTTAAGTCTAATTAGACTATGATTGAACAAATTGCCAAATAACAACGAAAGTGCTACAGTACCATTCTCAAAAAATTTCGCCAACTAAACAAGGCGTAAATATGTAAAGTTGGTCGAGGTCATGCCAAATTGCCAATGGAAGGGGGCAATGCAAACAATGCAGAGTTAGAAAAAGGCAGGGTAAATGTGAAGTTAGATGTGAAAACCCTTTTGTTTCTTCTCCATGTAGCCATGCGCTACCTGCTTGTACTTGAAAAGCCTCAGAATACGTTTCTACAGCGTCCACATGAGTGGCTGGTGGCAGTGGCGGATCCCGAAACAGCTCAAAGGAGAGTGGCTGGTGGCAGTGGCGGATCCAGAAACAGCTCAAAGGAGGAGGGTGGGGGCTGAAAATAGTATAAAGGATATTTTGGCCGCGTCGGGTAGTGCTAAATGTATATTTTTATGGGCTATCTTGGACTGGACAAATGAGTTGCTAAAGGGATTTGGGACGTGCCCCGGGCAGCTCGGGGCCTAGATCCGCCCCTGGTTGGTGGTTTTCTCTTTGCTGTATATATCCATTTTCTTTGTCGTCAAAAGATATTATTCATTTTGTTGTTTCATATATGACGTTATAAAATTTACATAGCAACACGTGGGGTATCATCTAGTTCAATAAGTGCTTAACCCTAGTCCTGTCTTCAAGTAGATTAGCATCAAATTTCAGTGATCCCAAGATAAACAAACCAACTACCAAGATCTGAAGAGAACCAACAGATCTGACAAATCATGCTCTCACTGGCCCTTTGCCGACGTCAGATTGAACATCGTCGAGGTATGGAGAGGCTGGAGAGACCTTATTTCAATGCATCATCGTCGCCACCACCTCATCGATGACACTAAAAACCAAACCCTACGAGAAATATAGAACAAACCTAGATCTACGAAGAGGTCAGGTGCCCACTCCTCTAACCACCGGAGAGATCGCCGGATGGGAGAGAGGAGGGGGACCAATGCAATGGCGGTAGAGGACAGGGAGAGGATGCCTTGGGGGAGGAGTAGTTTCCGCGTGGGGGGAGTTTCTGCGTGAGCGGGGATTCTTGGTCGGTTTTTGGACATAGGAGCCTCCTTGTTGTCTCGTGTACGTCGGTTACACAAAGATGGAAGGAGATTGCGTGTGAGGGAATGACATGCAAGGCAACGATGCTGGGGCTGGGTACAACAGCAGGTACAGAAATTTTTGGGTGACAAGTAAATTCCTCGGAGGGTGTCGATCCAATGCAACAAACATAACAGCAGGAACGCATAAGATGCATAATGCGTGACCGTAAGATTTTAACATGGCCCACCATCAGATTGATATACATCGTTAGATCTAAATCTCCCACAACTAAAAAGAACAAAGCGTGAACACTTTTTGGTGCGACATTTAAACGTGGGCCCATAGTCCTACCTGCTGCGTTCCCGCAGCCTTGCCTCGTCGGTCTGCCTCCTTGCGATCCAGTCTCCCTCCGTCGCGTGACAATCACGGGCAAGATCTCATGCAAAAGAACTGAAGTTCATTGCCTTGCATGCGTGTGAGCCAGTCGTGTGCATGCAAGATCAAGAAGGAAACTACTATTTTTATTGATCCGGTCAATCCTGCCATCAGCGCCCTCAGGAATCACGCAAGGATTACATCACGCGACGATCATCTCACATTGCCAGTTAAGCAACCGTCCTCCCTATGCACACTGCATGTCCTCACCCTCGTGTGCAGTGCCCTCGCACTTGCCCTTGTGCGCCGCCCTCACCTCCTCGCCACTCGTCCTCGACGTTGCCTGTTGCACACGCGGTCGCGCCCGTCGCCGTCGCCTTGTCCGCGCCGACCCGCTTCCTCGTCCTCAACGCCACCGGGCTTGACTTCCTCCTCGCCGCTATAGTGGAGAGGCAACATCAACGGATCATGCACCGCCTATGTTTCAATCCAGGTGTTCCCTTCCTTCCTACTGTTCATGATTCGGTGAAACCGTACTGTTCATCTTCCTGGTCGGGTTCAAGGCAGAAGGCACACGGGTGGTTCAGAAGAAGTTTCGTTGTCGAATACAATAGATGGTCCTTGGGTCATTTGACCATCTTTGTTTCTGTTTTAGAAGAGCATTAAAAATAGCTAATTTAAATTCTCTCCACCAGCAGTCACAGTATATTACTGTACTTGAAATTTTGTTGTATTTGCCTTTATAGTGTATTGATCAGCGGTGCACAGGAGGATTGATCATATGGAGGTCTTGAAGTGTAATGGTGGATTACTGAGGGAGCAATGCAAAGGCCTCTGAGATCTCAAACTCTGAAAGGTGCCTCATGCCTAGTGAAGGGGGGAGATGGTCCGTTCTTCCTCCCAGAGGCCTCAGGCCTGTTTGCCTCATGTACTGCTTGTGGAATTGTCCAGGTATTCTTTTTGTCCTATGCATCAGTTGCCACGGATCCCATTCTAACATTTTGATGGCACATCCTGTTATAGAATTAATTTGTTCAATATAAGTATACAATTTATAGATTGAAAAAAGCAATCCAGTGTCGAGGTGATATGTTGGCATTGGGGTGATAACCGTGATATTCTAATAGAAAATAGTTTGTGACTATATGTTTACATAATATGACTTGCATCTACTACATCTTTTTTTTTGTTTGGAAAATAACATGAACGATAAAAATAAATTGAAGTCCTACCGTATAATATTTGAAGGCTATGGAAATAATTTGTTTCCTCTGAACTTTAGGAAAATAAAGTAGACCGATGGTAGAAAAAAATATTGCCTGATCTAGACTGAGATTCTATGTACTATCGGGTAGTTTAATGTGGACTATATCATGCACAAAACATGTATCATCTTGGCATTAGTTCTGAATGCCTAAATCAGATTTTTCTTAATTTGGCGCTGTAATACCCTAGAATTTATTAAAAAAAATAATATGCTGGCTGAGTAGAGTAAAGAGAAGAAACAAAATAACTTTTTGAACCATAAGTCGTATGGATGATCAGAGACCGTGGTTATGTAGATCTTGCCGAAACGAATCCATTTCACTACCAACATGTTTTGTTTGGAGGTCAGATGAATTTGGGACAAGCTGTTAAATTTGGGACATGCAAAATAGATTTGTCACATCTTGATTTTAGATTGGCTACTAGATGTTTGGTGGTATTATTTGTCTCGTTGTAACGCACGGTCACTCAACTAACTTAGAGTCATCGTCGCTTGTAATAATAATATCTATGATTTAACTATTTCTATATATTCTGATGCTATTTTGACACAAACACTCAAGTGGATACCTTATTCTATAGTATACGTCTGCGTGGAATAGATAAAGCCACACATATTTATACGGTGAGTACAACATACTTTGTTTTAAAGTTTTGAGTGAGATTTTTCAAAACACGTAGTATTACCCATGCGGTGGGACTAATATTTATATATATACTCTAACATGTGTACGGATGGTATGGAGATGCGGCGGAACTTATTCGTGCATTTATTGGTGCATGAAAGAAATGGATATCGGAGATTTGTTCTTGCCGATATAAAACATTATCTTGGCCATATCACGGAAAGGTCTATACAATAGGGTTTTGTGAGCCTACGATGCCGCGCTCTATGTGATTATGTTAATTTCACAAATTTTGTTATTTTGATTAAATATCACTTTAACGTTGGTATTTAATTTTACAGTATTGTTATCTTATCGTGCGATCCGTGTGCTTTTAGTATAAAATGTTAGCTATCCCGTAGCAACGCATGGGCACGAACCTAGTATACAATAAATCATCCAAT